CGCCGGATGACGTCACTAGCTGGCCGATAGAGGATCGGGACGTCGAAGCTTGGATCACTGCTAGCGGCATCGAGGACGATAGGTCCGATGTAGATATGATGGTCACGGGACTGGATAATGAGGATTACGTTAGGCTGAGTTTCGGGGATGAGTCCGCTGGGTCCGATAACGCCTCGTCCCATGACTCGGAGAGGGACAACCCGTGGCCCGTGAAGCACAGCGCCGTGGTGGAAGGTGATCTGGTGCTGGGCGGGTTGATGATGGTCCACGAAAGAGAGGACACGCACACCTGCGGCCCGGTGATGCCTCAAGGTGGCGTGCAGGCGCTGGAAGCTATGCTGTACACGCTGGACTGGCTGAACGAGAAGCAGATCGTGCCCGGCGTCAAGATCGGCGCGCATATTTTGGATGATTGCGATAAGGACACTTACGGGCTGGAGATGGCGGTGGATTTTATCAAAGGTAGGATTTGTTTGGCTCTTTGTGTATTGTTGTTGCGAGATTGGTACCCTTTGGGGATAAGTGTACTCGTGAATGGCGTGCGTTAGAATCATAGAATTTAAACTAGTCAAATAATTGGCTACAAAATAGAGATGAACAGATTAGATGATAAATCTTTTTTAGTGGAGACAGAAACAAAGGGTGGATACGCTGAAAAGACAATTAACCCTTTACGAAGATTCTTTGAAATGTAGGAAACCTTCAACAGATGAAGCTAAATTGTATATTGATTGCTTAAATAACAGCAAACACAGAAACTACATGCTAATCTCTTGCTGTCCGAGTAATTGAATCATTCGCCTGCGACTCAGTCTTCCAAATATGAACGTTCCATCTCGCCGAAATGTCGACATTCGTCCGCGAAGGGTTAATCGGACAATATAGGAATTGATAGGAAATTTAATCAGCAAAAGGAAACGCAGAATTTTAAATCCAATCGTTTGATCGGTTCCCAGTATGGTCAGTGTTAACTTACTCTCTATGTAAAAATTTAAGTTAATTAATTACTGAATTTTACTCGCCACTTTGCTATGGAAAATGAAATAAATAGATTACATGTTTGTTCATACAGCTCGCAGAAATTAGAGCTTCAAGAACAGGGAATTGTAATGTAGATGTTAATAACGCGAAAGAAACTCGCGCCGTAGTGCATTGCGACGGAATAGTTATCGGTATGGGGCACGGGCATGGTTCGCGATGTTTAGGAGTAAAGGTCGAATCACATAAAAACCAACCGGATCTCCGACCGAGAGGTCGATCACGCCTGGCTGCGATCCGCGCAAAACAAGCGCTGCAGGATAATATATAGGGCTGGCATGCGAGCGACACTGACATTCCGTAAAATAATAGCAGTCGGAACGGATCGCTGTCAGAATATGAAAAAGTCGTGGTATCCGTCGAAATAGTCGTTAATTGTAATTAGGCGCAGAAGTCCGTTATATATTCACAATCGTTTGTAACCTGTGTGTACGTTTACGTGTCAATAAAAAGGATATATCGTACAATAATGTATATTCTCGTGATTGCGTCAATCAAAATCGACTTAAACTGTTAAGGAATAATGTTTAAAAGATTCATCCATAACTCTGGCGTTAACAATAACAGATCATTTCTAATTCTCGTAGGAAATATTTTGAATACTTTTTAAATTCTTCATCTACGAAGGGTTAATCTATTTTAATTTGTTCCTAGCGTGACGTTAACACATTGCATGCTGGCTAATTTTCAGAAAACTGAATTGCGCGGATGGCAATTTTCACTGAGGTCAACTTATATCACTATACATAGATAAACTCAGATATCATATTGTAATATATTTTAAATAGATGATCAATTCGAATGAAATTTTATATTTTCTTCAATGCTGCGGTAATTAGCGAAGTTGCATAGCTAAGTGTCTTTATATAAAACCAAGATTTCTCGTTACCAGTACGCAATGTGTTAGTAGATATTGCTTAACCAATTTCACTAATTGTCTACGTCGACCTCTATTGGTGAACTAATCCTTCGTCTACTTTGTCTGAACGACCACTGGTCTATTCTACTATCAAATCCAATCGTTAGTCTGTTAATGTGATTCGTTCAACCGCTGATCTACACTACTGGCTTCAAAGTCACTGACATGTACTCGACCTAATCCGCCGTTAACCTACTGTCAAAAGCAATCGCTAACGTGGATTCCTATCCACTCACTGATCCATATTGTTTTCACGAATCATTCACGTACGTATATCGCCCGTTTCCTCAGACATTAGCCTGCACAATACACCTGGCTAATCACCGACCCACACCAACTTGACTCGCTAAACGCACGTATAGAATTGTTCGCCGCATAAACACCAGATTTGTTCACTTACGATGCAACGAGCGTGTACCCTATTTGCATAACCGCTGACAACTACTCTCCCCGTGTCATGAGACAGCAAACCTACAGTGCTCTCGCGTCTGCTCCGCCATTGTCTACTTTCTATCGCACACAACACGAAATCAGCGGCGCGTGTCAAATAAATTATTAACCCTTTGTGTCGTGTACCTTGTTTTCCACCGACGTTGTTCGGTAGTTAAACTAGTACGTCGCACGCCGAGTTAACTTTGTGCGAATTTTTAGGTTTGTGAAGTGGACTGTATTTACTTGTGAAAATCAGTGTAGTGACTCGAAATATGTTCGATGCTCTTTATTTGCTTGTTTGACTATTTGTTT